GAAATTGGCGCGCGAGCTTGGCTGGCTGATGTTGGAAGCTAAGGGGAGTATACAGATTCTGGGGTTTAGGGTTTATGGCAAAGACGCCTGAACCTTTGAGCTTAATCGCAAACATAAGGCTTTTGTTTCTGAGAGTACGGCTTCAAGTTCAACAATTTCAAGACCTGCCTCTAAACGGCAGGCTAGGAAGTTTATGGGCCTACAGCGCACTCTCCAACTCCCCAACCCATGCATCAAAGGTGTTGGAAAAGTCCATAGCCCGAACTCTTCGAATGTAAACTACGAACACCATAAAAAAATCCCTAAGGAATGTCACTATATATCTATATAAATGATTCAAGCTTCTATACTATGCCCCTCACCCCTACACGACTTGGCACCCCAAGGGGCTGAGCTTCTGGGGTAGGCTGTTTCAAAGCAGGCTCCGAAATGCAACCGGGACACGTTTTTGTACAATGCAAACAAGATCCAACTCCACTAATGGGCTAAAACGGCGCCATGAGCAGGCGGCCGCCCATGGAAAGATACGTCTGATCTGGACGATGCGGGCCGGTTTGTGATAGTTTCCATTCGGAGATAGATCCGTGAATTTATCGCAGGAATGTCCTCCAAAGCTCTGCACAGGCACCGAACCGCACAACTAACGCGAGCATCAGGACGTTGCATACAATTGTGGCTCCCTTACTACTTTTATTATCACTATCTAGAATAATCTAAACGGGCCCGAGGTCCGTACACTGACTACAGTACGTCCTGGGCAATAATGGTCGTTGAGTCATATAACCGCAATGCTTCAGGAGTCCACGCAGATACATCATCCTGCACAGGACGCATGATCTCGGCAGCTAGGTCTTATCAATTTCACACAGGTCACAAAGTTTCCAAAGTTGAGCCATTTGTTCAGAATACCCATCCAATCTCTTACTTACCGAGAGCACAATTCGATAAAACCCACACCTCTTGAGTCCAGGACTGTTTGTTTCTTGCACTACATAGAACTTGCCACTGATGGATTTTGCTTAGAAGATTGGGGTCTAGCAGAGACAGGAGCTGCCAGTGCACGAAGCGGCATGGTAAACTTGAAAACTTCAGAAGACCGCCAGAGTACTGAACGAGGGACCGAAGTCTTAGTCAAACCCGATCCACATTCAACGACACTATGACCCCGGGACCTCGAACCCACCACGAAACATACACCCCAGAACTCAAACAATACGAAGCTAAACATGCCACGCTGATGGACCATGTGGACGCCGTAAACCAACCCTTGAACTCCGGGGTCCTTTAAGGAATCTGTTTCAGGGATCCATGAGGGTTCCTGTGAGAAATCTTTACAAGGATTCCACATACCTCCTGTGAGGTATCTACTGAAGCAAGCACTTGTACCTCTTGAGTCGGATATGGGGGTTGTAATGCTGAGGGTGCTTGCGAGCTTGCCGGGGAGACCCCGGCCAATCACGCAACATCATGCGCAGCGGCTTGAAGAACCCTCCTACTACATGAACCTTCGCAACAGCGCCAAGGCCCGCCGGTGCCCTCAAGCCGCAAAGCGACAAATCATCCAAACAACACCTCTGTCAACATAATCATGGTCCTAGCAGCAGCTCAGCAGCACACGGACAAAGTCCTGAGTTGCTCTGTTGACCCTTCCGGAATGCTTTCCCTCACACTAAACGCCACAATCAGTAGTCTGGGGGAGAGACTGCTCAGCGGTGAGCTCCTGAAGCTCTTTGCGCTACATTGCCCGAACAAACCTGGGCTTTAACCGAAGAAGCACGATCAACAACAGCAAGTTCCATGCCGAGCATGCAAGCACGATAGTCCAGTTCGAAGTGCTATGTGGCATGTTCTTCACACTTCGCTGCATGCTGTCCTGCTCCTTTTCGGCTTGGTCCACATCAGGGAAGCAGGCAGTTGTCCCGGCCTGTCCAAACGAGCGTTCTAGGGCCTGATGTGCAGTTTTGAAGTTCGATGTGGCACAAAGACACTGTTTCTTCTTGGTGTGTTTTGCTTGCACTGTATGTAGTACCACAAGCCCCATGAACACATCAACCTGGGGCTGCTGCTGACGTATCAATGCGGGAGGGGGACGCCTTTTGACACAGCTCAAGGAACGCGCCGAGCAGCTTGGGCAGCCCCTTCGCGAGGTCAGAACGGCTTTGAAGCTTCTTGGGTCGTCTTTGGATTCTACCTGTCGACACTACCCGAAACCCAGCCTTGGCTGGCAATCCCCACAAGAGATTTTGCACCCGAGACCACCCTGACTTCAAGCGGTAAGCTTGGGTATGGAGTCGGAAGCCGTATCCTCATGTTCCCAAACTCCTGTCTGCCTGATGACGATTATAGCGGCCGTGGTGACGGTGACAACGACAAGTACTCCACTTTGACCACCCTCCGAAGCCAAAGCCTGAAGAGAGCCAAAGCATAGCCGAGAAGAGATGTTGGCCTGGAGCGAAATCGAGAAAAATGTTCGACCTCTTCCGCCACTCCAGCTGCGTTGTTTTGTATATAAGATATGTGGTCGACACCGTCAAAAGTTGCGATGTGATGGAGTGCAGCCACAACTCCTGCCTCAATCAGCGACTGCACCCTTCCCAAAGCAAGTGCATCATTGGTTTGGTTGCAAGGGATGAGGGGTGGTGCTACTCGCTTGAGGTGAGCAGCCTGCAAGAGTCACCGCGGCTGCTGCGTTTATTGTCAATTTCTCTGTGTGCGGTTCGTACATGATGCTCGCATGGGAAGATCTGCGTTGGCCTTGACCAGCCTTGCCTCCAAGCTCAAAAGCTTGCGCTTCACGATTGGCTCGTCTCGAAGGCTTAACTTCCCAACCCCATATTCTGTGCACAAGCCCGCAATCCCACAATCTGCTGGCTTCCACCATCAGTTTGAATGCTGCACAAAATCCTAGCTGCCCAAACGATTTGGCTTGAAACTGTTACGAATCTCGTAGCTTCTAACTCACTTCTCCGGGGGTTAAAGCTTTAGGTTTCCAGGGTTTGGGGCCTCAAGTTCGCGTTCAGGTTTGAGGCCGACCCATGACTCTCTCGCTTGCTATTTTGGCTCGCTCTCTTTCTCTCGTTCTCTCTCTGTCTACCTCTTTCTATCTCTTTGCCTCTCTTTCTCACTTCTTCTTCCACAGCGCATTGAGAGCGTCTGAAGCCCCTTGGCCGCTAGGGCACGCAATGTGGTTCCCTCTTTCTTGCTTGCTTGCTTGCTGGGCGTGTGGGGCGTGGAGTTTTCCCCACTGCCCCTTCGCTCTCGCGCTATACGCCACTCTTTCTCTCTTTCTCCCTGTCATTCTCTTTCTCTCTTTCTCTCTTTCTCTCGCTCGCTCTCTCTGTTTCTAGCTCTGTCTCCAGCGCTCTCTCTCTCTCTCTCTCTCTCTCTCTCTCTCTCTGTAGCTTTCTCTCTCCCTCGCTCTCTATGACCCTCTATGTCTCGTTCTCTCTTTCTTGCTTTTGTGCTTGCTTTCTATCTGTCTTTCTTGTTTTCTGTCTTGATTTACGTATTCCTTTCTTTGGTGATGCTTTTGTTTATTCCTTCCTTCCTTCCTTTTTTGGGCGATGCCTTTCCTTCTTCCTTCTTTTCTGTCTTTCTTCCTTTATTTCTGTCTCGCTTTCTCTCTCTCTCGCTCTCTCTCCCTGCCGCTCTGTCTCTCTCTCTCTCTCTGCCCCTCTCACCCTTGCCTTGCTTGGTGCACTGTCAGTGTGCCTCCTGACCATGCTCCTTCAAACAGTGGCCAGGCCTCCGAGTCTGCAGACCCATCAGTGACGAACCTTACGAACTTCTGGGATACTCTGCTAAGCTGGGCGCCTCGGCGCTGCAGCCCCGAAAACGGTGTCCGCTGCACCGAAAAACTCGAGGCGGTGAAGGGCTTTGCAGCATGTCAGAGAGAGCATGCCTAGGCAGGAACACAGCGATGGCGCTTGCGCCGTGTGGTGCCTGTGGCTTCATGGCCCCTTCGTGGCATCTTGGGATGGAGCGGTGAAGAAATCATAACAGAAGCTTCGGACCGTGACTGACAGCTTCGTGTCACACCCCAGCTGCAGGACATTCGATGTCTCAGCTTCGAACCGTGAGCACTCATTCTCTTTACTGCACGTAGATGCGGAGCCTTGACGACATGTGCTGACATGTCTGCGATCGGTAAGGTAAGCACAATGGCATTCCGAGTGCCAGACTGCAGCAGCGACCCTAAACTGATGGAAGTAGCGGAGGGACCTAAGGAAATGACAAGCAATACCATAAAGAACCAAAAACTGAGGGTAATCATGAGCTGCAAGCTTTCGGGGCGTAATGTGCTCGGCAGGGACCTGAGAAGGCCAGCAAGAAGATGCCCATCCCTGACTGTCTGTATGAATGCGAAGCGTTGACGGTGCTCTGTTACACAACATGGTCACGTAGCTGAACACCCCCTTTGTAACACAGAACATCCACACCGAGCCGGAGGCCACGCTTCCAAGACTGAAGAGGACCAGCAACTTCGTCGTCAAGAAGCTTCGCCCAAACATCCTAGCAATTCAAGACTTGCTGCTCAAGCCGTGCGGCTTTGGACTGAAACAGGCCGCGTGGTCCCAATCCCAATCCTCGTCTCAGTTTCGAGAAACGGCCTTGGCACGGAGCGCTTTTCAGCCAAGGGCGCTTAAAGCTCCTTCTACCCGTGCGCGTGCACCCAAACGACTCAAAAGCCTCCGCGGAGCTCAGCGGGGCGAGGGGAGGGGAGGCGCGTCGCCTCGTCAGAGCCTTGGACTGAGGGAATTTTCGAATCTTCTCAACTCCAAGCCAGCAATGCAGCTTCAGGTTTCGGTTTGGGAGTTTGGGGTCCGGGGGAAGTGATGAATACAAACCTTGCATCGAGAGCGCCAGTGAATCATTTTTCTGCCGCCATTGCCGTGGCTGATGCCTGGCGGCAATGCCCACGCCTGCAGGCACGGGTCTGGTGGCAGAAGATACCTGGCTGCTCAGAAGGCAGCTGGAACCATCTGGGCTGGGCAAGAGGACTATGCTACAACCAGTTCCTGCTGCTGGCAGAACCTGTGGTCACAGCCGGCGTTCGACGCTTCCTGTGAGCAGAATGCCAAGCCTCCTTCTGTGCAGTTGCCTCTGGCTCCACAGCGGGCGGCCTCTGCCGCGCAAACGCATCTTGAGTTCGGCACGCTTGCCTTCTCCAACAGCCGGACACATTTTGAGAAACACACGCTGCAAACTCCATGGTCGCCACCGCCAGCAGACCCAAAACTCTTATCGCAACCGGAGCTGGAATGCTCCTGCCCACAAGTGTTTACAGGCAGCAATCCCGTCCACCAGCTTATCTTGCCGGCACTGCAACCACCTGAATCGAAATCTTCCAAAGCCTGCCCAAGATCACTGGAAGTTGCCGGAGCTGCCGAACCTGAAGGGCAGGCCACCGGACTGCGATAGAAAGCGTTAACCACTTTCCGGAGACACCAAGCGCTGGAGACACAGTGCCCACCGGTTGGGAGCTCCACTTTGGCTTTGCAAGTGGGCACAGCTTCGAAGGTGGCACGGGCAGATCGCAAGGGAGTCTGCCCATCCAAGTCGCCATTGGTCACGAGAACCGTCACGTTACTCCAAGGATGACCGTTGCTGTGCACGAGCGCAGAGTTCTCGCGATAGCCGTACTTATTGAACACATCTTGATATCGACTCATCAATGTCACGAAGTCCGGCGCCCAGAAGACATGCTCGTCGAAGAAGTCTCTCCATGATGCTAAGCTACAGCTGCCATGCCTTGCATCTTCCAAACCCCAGGCATGTAGCTCAGGAGGTCCCTTCCTTGGTTACAGCAAGCCGCATACGACACGGCAGGAATTTTGTTGGTGCTTGCTCCCCCGACGTTTACAACTAAGGTCCATTCCACATGTCACCGAAGCTGACGACGTGGTGAAGAACCGCCGAAAAGTCGGCCGGATAGCTCGCAAAGTAGTCCTCCGCATGCCGAACTCCGCCATCGATTAAGTCAACAACTGCCCAGAAATCACTTGGGATGGTCGTTGCACTTGTGTCTCTGACACATCGTCGCAAGGTGAGGACCAGCGCAACAAACGTTTTCATTGATGAAGATCCTCCCGTAACATCCAGATAGCCTATTGCACCCAGAGCCTCCTTGACTGAGGCTTTGGCGGTCCACCCCGACAGAGAGGACGACTTCGCAAAACGCTCCCAGAGGTACTTCCCACAAAAGCCGCCGCCCAAGCCATCGAGGCCGATGGCCTTGTCAATCTCCTTCACAGCCTCCCCAAACCAGAGGGCAACAGAGCCAGTGGCAGGCGCGCCTAGCTTGCCCCGACAATCTGCGTCGCAATACTCGTCCAAGAGCCGCTGCCCGGCACGGTTAGCTGCCAAGGCATATTGCCCAAAGTCATAATCCCCACTGCAAACGCCATCAATGCCGACATGCGAGACGATTACAGGAAACTCATGGCCCTGCAGTTCCAGGAAGCGTCGAGCCCAAACAGTTCCGTAGGAAAAGCCATGGATGCCAACATCGGCAGTGCTTCCTGTTTCGGCTTGAATTGCCATGATTACGGAGGCCAAATCTCGCGCGGCATTCGCAGCAGTGAAATGCTTGGGCGCGCCAATGTCCTGTGAGATTTCGGTCAGACATGCATCAACAGTTTCGGTAGATACGTTGCCAAGGCCTACCCACTTCATCCAGGAGTTGCCCCAGGGCAGCTTACCAGGCTGCTTGCGGACTTTCGGGCAATCCAACACGGTGGACCATCCAGTGCCGCGGTGGTCCAGCGCATAGGAGACCTTTCCAAGGACTGAAATCATTCCCAGCAAGGGATGCGAAGGCCCGCCAGGGCCTCCCTGCATCATCCAGAGCTGGCCGTCGCTTTCGGTGGCAGGACGAGAGCGCTTCACCGTCACAATGATGTTGCCACCGGCCAAGCCCTGGCTATAGTCGAGTGGCACTCGGTATTTGCGGCACATGCCGCCGGAAAGACGCCTCTGCGGAGATGGGGGGCTCATCCCGGCTCCTAAGCCCGTCTCATATCTTGCCGCAGACATTTGGCAATTCTCCCAGTCCGCAACCGGTTCGGCAGGGCCGACTGTGATCGCAGGTACGGGTACCGGGGAGTAAGGCAAGTCCTGGCAGATTTCGTCGCCATCTGGAGAACCAGGTTGAGGTGGTGTGGCGGCAAGGGTGGTTGTGGCAGTAGTGGCAGTGGCAGTTGTAGCGGTAGAGGTAGTGGTGGAAGAGGTGTAGGTGGCGGTAGAGTTAGAGGTAGTGGTGGCAGTGGTCGTTGTAGGGGCCGAAACGACAAAGTTATGGATTAAGACTGGACCCAAGCCCAGACTCCCAAGTACGAGACTCGCGGCCACAACAATCTTGATCGGCGTCCATGTCCTTGGCTCTGCCCTTAAGGCCCTTGCAGGGTCTTCTTCCACCTGCAAAGACTCCATGGCAGGATATGCGTATCCAATCGCACCTACTCTGCCTGAGTGTGCTTGCGGCTGCTTGCGGCACGTCCAGTCGCTCAGAGCAAGTGATGCCCCGAAACGGCTAAACATCTCGACCGAAGTGCTTAGGATCCCCCGAGCAACTGGGCCTCCGACGCCAGCTGTAAGCTGAAACACCACCTCTCCAAAAGAAAAACGATGCCTCGGCTGCACTTCCGGCCGTCGTGCTTTCTGTCTTCCTGAGGACGATGCAGGACTTCGGTTTTCAGACGCAGGAGATGCTCTGCAGACTGCCAAACTTCCATTCTGCGAAGGAGATAGGATGACAGAAAACGCTGCGAAGAAGCCAGTCCGAGCAGTCCGAAACATGACATCTAAAACAGTGAGGCATAAAACCAAAATGGCCCTTCCAAAAACCCATAACACTCGTATAAATCTTAACGCGAACCTGCAAGACCCTTCACAGAACCTTACGAAGCCTAGAACGCTCCAAAAAAGGCAAACCTGACAACTAAGACTCTAGCACTCAATTTAACAGCCTTCCGAAAACCGCCAAACCGGGTGCAAACCTTCGGCTCATACAGGTATTTCACCTCCTTCGATCTGTTTGCGTGGAATCTGGCTGTGCCGGGGAAGTGCTGTGCTCTGCTCGGATGAATGACTGTTCACTGTTCACTGTTTCGGACTCGTATATCTCTTCTCATGCAGATTTGAAAGCAGTTTCAAAGTAGCAAATGTCCCTCTGAACGCGGCAGACTTGGAAGCAGATAGCTGATCGAACATGCCGATGCCACGAGTACAACTTCCGAAGGAGCTCTTGGCATAATCCCGGAACTCGGAACCCTTCCATGCCAAGCAGCCATTCTGCAGCTCTTCGACCTGCTCCGACTTAGACTTAAGGAGTGGGCAGGTTTGTTTTAGGGGGCGACACTGCGCGACAGGATTATGTAGTACAATGATGATACACCATCTTCAAGGTAGGTAGTCACATAAAATGCGATGGCATCATCAGGCCACAGGTATGCGTATACACATGCATATATGAATATATGCGCACGCAGACAGCGAGTTGTGGCTGTATCCAGCCAGCTTACGTGCAGGAAGTCATGATGAAAGTGTATGCTCGTAGTCAAAGCGAACGAAGACATGCAAAGCATGCTCCCATACCTAGCTGAGTTACATTCGGTGCGATAGGACCACAGACAAAACCGATGCGAGATGCTGACATGTTCGGAGACCAAGGCATTTTCTCATAGAAGGCCCCGTGACTTTTTGGCAGAGGCAGTTGCCCAAGGCTGTCCATCGTGAGCCTGGAATCAACTCCTTTCAAGTCCCGAGTCGTGTGTTGCATGATCTTCTTTGTTACGACTATTCTCACTACGAGTACGAGTGTTGTGAGCTGTGGTATTCCATTTCTCCGAACATGTCTATTGTCACAGGACCCGTGATCCAGGCTCCTATCTTACGGTCATCGCAAGTCTCCCGAATGAACGCAGGGATCCACTTAACTTCGCCTGCTTGAAGAACCACCGGTCACACCAACGGCCCAGTGAAAGCAGGAGGCTGTCGCCTTTCGGAGCGTCCTGAGCGAGGGTTTCAGATGCAGGGAGCTTGGNNGAGGCTCCATGTCATTTTGGAGTCAGTAAAATTTTTTGCAAACTAAGAAAGATCAAAGAACCAGTCACAGACTGATCGTTGAAATCCAGGATGATAGGGGCTTTGAGTTTAGGTGTAAGCTTATTCCAATACTTTCCTTTTGATCCATGCGCCAGGCCGCCATAAAACAGAAAACTCCTAAACCTCAAGTCCCCCCCCCCCCCCCAACGAAAATCCGGTGTGGAGACTAGGCTCGGGTTCAAGCTCTGCACAAGCCCCCAAACTTAAACTCTGAGTCATAGAGAAACACACCCCTCCAAGAATAAGCCATGTATATCCAACCGTAGCCTCTTTAAACCACGTCATTTTTCAACTGCAGTAACGAGATTCCAGCATATAGCCCAAAACCCAAAACCTACCCTAAGCCCTGAACCCTGACACCCAAAACCCGAATCCTAAACCCTCAGCAAATCCTAAACCCCAAACCCATAAAACCTAAATAAACCCCTACACATTGCGAGCTGTAGGGCTGATGAAGGCCCAAGTGTTGGGGTTTGAAATCTGCCTGTAGTCCAAACAACCCTCTTGCTTCCAAGGACAGATAAAAGGCAATCGTGATGAGGAGCTGTCGAAATGTAGTGTTTTCAGGTTGATGTGAGGTTTCAGGACGGTTTGCGGCTTGGGGTTGGAGGATTCACGGCTTTCGGGGTTTTGGGCTTGCCGCTTTGGTTTTTGGCTTCTGGCTTTGGGCTTGGGGTTTTGGAGTGGGATTTAAGTCCAAGGCTAAGGACTTGGAGAATGTTGGGTGCTGCAAGCACGCGGTACCGGGAACTTGGACCGAACTCCTAAACTACACCCCAAGGCCCTGAAACTTGCAACTCGAAGCCCGAAGACCCTGTCACCTACACTCTGAAGCAAGCCTGGCCCCCTCAAAACCTACCTAGCCGCTTTGAGAAATTGAGTAAGTTTTGGGGGGTGGCTGTCGGCTCTTCTGTTCTCCAAGGCTGTGGCGGCAGTGCTTCTGCGATGGCAGCACGGCTCTTTCGCCGTGTAGTCAGGGCCTGTCTTGTCGCGTTTAGGGTTCAGGACCTTTAGGATAAGCGCAACCCCCGAATTACTAAGGCGGCTATGCTACATCGTAGAGCCCTTATGGCGCAGGCTTGGGAGTGTGAGGTTAAGTGTGGGGTTCAAGGCTTTGCCGGGGTTTTTGCCGGGTTTAGGGTTTAAGGCTTTGCATGGCCTTTCGGGCGGAGACTGTTAGTAAAGTTAGGATTCCTAAACGGCAGTTAACTCCAAGCCCTGCACCTGACTTAAACCACCCACCCTCCACACCCCTCATTTCGAATCTCAGAGCTTCATAGTTTCGGCCGTAAGAAGGGGGGGTTAGGTACCAAAAGCAATTCAATTACATAGGAATGCTCCGGATCTACATCCCGATTATGTAAAGTGTTTCGGACTTCTGTGCGACAAACGTTCCACACTCAACCCGGAACCCCAAACCCCGAACCCAGAAATCTTGAACCCTAAACTTGCTCCGTAACCCTGGCCCAAGCCCGAATCTGAACCCAAGCACTCCAAGACCTGAGTGCTGAGTGATCACTGGTACACACACCCACACACTCGAACTCCAGGCAAACCCTGGTGTGAGTTCTCACGAGTGATATCAACTCCAATCAAAGTCAGAGACTCAGAGGAGGCATCAAAGAATGTAAAATGTTGTGGGAGGTCTTCAACAGGCTCGAGTTCCCTT